ATTCTGTCATTCTTAATATCTGAATTTTTTAGTGGACATTACTAGGACGTTAAGAGCCCCAAAAGTGGATGTGGAAGGAGGAGGCTCCCAACAAAAAGCCGCCCTTATGCTCATACAGGTGTCTTCTCCTGAAAGGAACTGGGAAATGTATTCAAACTGGGCCGAGTCTGTCGGGTCATTTCCACATATTATGAAACAAACGGTGAGGAAAAGTAAAATGAATGTAATGTTAGATTTATTTTATTTTAGTGTATCATCTTATCAAATAATACAACCCCTCTGTCCCTCTGGTTCTTGTAGCTGCGGCCCCTGTCAGAGCTGGTGAAGGAGGTCCAGTGTGCCGGGGCGAAGAGGCTGTACCTCCGCAGGGCCATAGAGCAGTACCTCAGTGAGAGCCAATCCTGCCACTGTCGGCCCTGCAGAAACAATGGCATGGTTGTCATGGAAAGAGATGAGTGCAAATGCATCTGTAAGCCTGGCACATCAGGAGTGGCCTGTGAGAAGGGAACTGAAACCGAGGGTCAGCCGGGTTGGTGTTACATTTCAGACACATACTTTACTCCTGCTTTGGTCTTGGTTGAGTTGGTTTGATGTGTTAGTAAGGGAGTCACTCTTCATCGGATAATATCACATACACTGTATTATATTTCTGAATGTAATTTAATTAATTTAACTCCTTTATTGTCATTGTACAGGTACAACTAAATTGATACTAAATATATATCAACAGACAATACAATTAAAACGACATGCAGTTCTAATAACAGTGTTCAATAATAGACAGGTAGTGAAATTAAATTAATTAAATACGGAAATAAATATGTATTCTGTTTCTACTCGTTAGGGGTGATTGACGGTATCTGGGCCTGCTGGTCTGCCTGGTCATCGTGCTCTGGGGTCAAAAGGTCAAGAATTCGCTCCTGCTCTAATCCCGCTCCTCAGAACGCCGGACAACAATGTATCGGAGAACCCACTGAGAAATCCGACTGTGAAGACCAAGACATGCAATACTTAAAGTCAGAGCTAGACGTTTTTTGTTTGCAAATATCACATTTTCAATAAGAGGTGCTTTCTAATAGATGTCATCAATATGCAGTAATAAATCATGCTATCAACTGTTTTTCACAGAACTATGGAGCCTCAGTGCTTTGACCAAACTCTCCCATCAAGCCAGACCTGTGGAACACCGCCTGCTCTGATCAATGGCTACATCCTGGTAAATATTAAGCCAAACTTGAACGTTTTCTTACATTTAATGTTTTGCATTGGTTATTGTTATTTTAGTCCCTAATTTCTGTTATTTTTTAAGAGATTTCCGAGCAGAAATCCGAACTGAAACATGGAACTGAATCACCTTTTTGTAACCCAAATGTTTCACAGGTCCCTAAGGACATCTACCTTGTGGGTAGTAAGGTTGACTACACCTGCACAGAAGGTTTATATCTTGTTGGTTTTGGCACTATTGAATGCACTGCTAGTCAAACCTGGTCTGCGAAGCCTGGACCGTGCACAAGTGAGCAACCATTACTAGTGTTCAACATTACGATCACAATGTATTACAATTGTACTGTGTTTAACTCTACATTTCCCCCCAGATGCTAGGTGCACCATAGATTCCCTTGGTGAGGATGTAATTGCCTCTCCTCAACGAGAGGTCTACGGCATTGGGGAGTCAGTCACTTTGTCTTGTCCAGAAGGCAGACAGCTAATAGGAGAAGCAACTCTTATGTGTGACCCCAGTCTGCATTTTTCACCAGACCCAGCAGACATCAAATGCAGTCCAGGTACACATTTTAATTTAAGTTTCATAAAAATAGCCTATTGACAGCGTGGAGCTGATGTCTAAAACTACATGACTGCATTTTAATGTATCCTATCACTGTGAAGTTAGTTTTAAGTTGGATATTTTGACAGACATTCAGAGGACAGTTAGCTCCCATCCTTAGCATTCGGAAACAAGTAGATTGTTGCTTTTATTTGCTTTCAGTGGTCTATTGTTTTTATTATATGGCTGTTATTTATTTTTTAATTATTACGTTTATTCTGGTTTGTTTTGTGTTTGTATCTTGTATTTTAAATGTATTTATATTATGTTGTGTGAGCTTATCTCTCTGTACAGCACTTTGGTCTGAAGGTTTTAAAGTGCTATATAAATAAAGTTGGATTGGATTGGATTGGATCCAAGCCCTCACTCTAAACCACAGGGTTGGACTAAGGGACTATCAATAAACTACCATTTCAATTACACAAAACCAGGTTTATGTTCAGTATCTCCATGTTAACTTGCACATATTTGTGAAAATGATGCAAGAGAAAATAAAATGTATTTGGACTAAAATAAAGCAAACTAGGTTTCCTACTAAAAAAAGTAGCATTATTGAATACACTGTTGCCCATAAAGTTGGAATACAATATGTTTTACCTCTTGATCAAATGATTGTTTGTGTAAATAGGCATAAAAAGAGGAATGTGTCTGAAAACAAAAATATTCCAACTTTAGTTATATGAAATAGAAGAAGCACTACAATCTAATATATATCTAATGTGTCTTATTTGTTATTCATAATAATATTTGGTATGGATTTAAAGCTATAATTTAAAGTCAATGGGTCAGATGACATAAAAAAAACTGAAATTATTTTCACGCTGTTACCTCCATGAATGTCTGTTGAATATCCAACCTAAAACTAACTTCATTGTGGTACCCTATTCTTTACTGGTCCATATATTGTATTTCAATCACTGCATGCATGTAAAAGCTACTCAGTTACCAATGTAACAGAGTGTGCGATGAATCCCACAGTCACTGGGTCTCAAACACCCACCTCTTCGCTCCAATGTCAACCCTGGGAGAAGTCATCCAGAGGAAAATGTGTTTGCAAAATGCCTTTCGAATGCAGGTATGTTTACTCAAACAGCCATCACTTTGCGCATGTGATGTTTCTAAATTGGACCAATTTGGTTTATTGGTCTTATGGTTTGTATTTGATGATTCTCAACAGTTCATCTTTGGAGGTGTGCGTCACTACCTCTAGGAGCAGAAGCCCAGTCCTTCTGAACGTGTGCAAAATGCAATCACTGCAGTGTTTGGGGAAGAACCACACGATGGCAGAGGAAAGCTCCTGCGTGTGGCCGCAGCGCATCACAACAGACTGCACCAACTGTCATATCTGGGAGACCTGTGACGGTGGGGATACCTCAAAGTCATACAAACCATGATGACACAGAGTATTTGTACTGTGCATTGATCTTATCCATCTTCACAACTTTCTTTCAGATCAAACCAATGCGTGTCGCTGTAAGGAGTCTGCAGATTGCCTAACCCCGGGATCAAATGTCTGTGTTCAAGTTGGAGAAGATGCAAGTGCAGCTTCTCAGACCATGAGCGAGTGTGAAGCAGGACAGCGGCGTTGTAAGGGAGAAAAGGTTACAGTTGTCAGTATCCTGCCTTGTGCTGCCTAACAATGCAAGAAGAGTGTCTGACCTTATGACCTTATATCTCCCCTTTCGTTTACACATTAATCCTCTATAACACAATCCTCGTATTTTTCCAGTAAATTAGTATTGTATCACCACATGTACAAGTACACAGTTATGCATGTAAACAGCTATTATGTAAAACAGTATAAAGACAATAAATAAACAGCAAAAAACACCAGCCAAGTTGGATTTATTTTCAAAAATGAATATTGACAGAGATATGTGTATAATCATTACAGAGAAATGTTGTTGACTGTTGTTGAGTTGCATACGCAATACACTACATAAAGTAGTAAAGAGTCGTTTTGTAACCTCAAGATAATAGATAAAAAACGTGTAGTTGCCTGAGATGATCTATTTAAAAAAAAAGTATTGTGCTTACTTAACCAGACAGGTCTCAGCATGCCATCAAACCCCTGATGAAAATGTGTTTTCGCCGACCGCTAGCTGCCGTCTGATGGTGTGAGTGCATGTGTTTTATATTGACAGTTCATGGTCTCAGCCAGATCCTTGATGCCTTCTCTTCACACAAACATGCTTATTGTCAGCAGATGTGTGACCATCAGTAACAGCCTGTTGAACAGAAAGGCTAGTGGGTGATTGGAAGGTGTTGAGAAATGGTCGAGAGGGAGCACACATGGTCTACTCTTAAATGGATGCAACTGAAATACAGGGTTTTTCTGAGTGAAAAAGGAATATTCAGGAATGCAAAGTTAGGCTTTAACGATGAAGGATAGGAAATATACAGTCATGTGACAAAATAGAGATAAAAACAAGTTTACAAATTGATGTAGGAAAACAATTTGATAGTCAGTAGGAGATGCATCTACAGATTGTAAGATGCTACTGTCCTTTTACTCATCTCATAAAAAACATGTTATTCCTAAAAGTTAACTTTTCATGAGTTAGGAAAAGAGTAAACGATATGTAGTAAACATTTGGGACAATTTGTGGTTTCTTCTATGAAAGAAACCATGCAGCCACTGATCATGCTGAGAGAATGTTGAAGTGTAACTGTGAATTTTTTTTACTTTATTTCAGCAGCAAAAGTAAGTGACCAGCTCCCTTCTTAGGTTTGGTAGTTTAATCTTTCCTTCTCTCTTGTTTTCACTCGATTCCTCCACCCCCC